AATACAGCAGTATCAACACAATAATTTTGAGGAAATCTGCATAAATATCTTACATAACACCTGTATGGAAAGCAATCCAGGGGTTTTAACCAGCTGGTTCATATCAGCCCTGTTCAGAATAAGAAGATAAGACTTGCATTCTTTCAGCTATCTAAATAAAACATCTGTGAATCGCCTACAGCATCAGAAGACTCTCACAATCTTTTCCATGCTTACTTGGAAGTGAATCTTCACTTGATTCAATCGGGTACAAGATTAAAATGTTGATATAGTCTGCAGATTTAGGGTGGATCTTCACTGTAGAACTAATTCAGTCTGACACTACTTGAATTGCCTTTGGCTCAGTGCTATGAAATTCTGGGAGCTATAGTTTGGTGAGGCACCAGCACTATCTGGCAAAGAACGCTAATATAAAATGACAACTCCTAGGATTCCATAGCATTGAGCCATGGTATTGGAAGTGGAGTCAAACAGTATTAATTCTACCGTGTAGATGCATGTGAGAATGAGACTCCTTGTATGTGTTGTCGAAGGCTTTCATGGCCAGAATCTAACAACCACCATGCCAGACAACACAAGAGAAGCCACTGAAATCCACAATCATGTGGACAATTTCGACAGAAAGGAGGAAACCATGAAAATGAACAAAATCTTGCTACCTGTATTTTTAAAAGATTCTAAAATCAAGACAGTAAATAAAGAACAACACTTAAAAAACAGGGGAATTCCTGACATTAAACCTTCGGGGCCAGCTAACACCTCCCAACAAAAGAGATTCCATCTGAACATGAGGAAGAACTTCCTGACTGTGAGAGCCATTCAGCAGTGGAACTCTCTGCCCTGGAGTGTGGTGGAGGCTCCTTCTTTGGAAGCTTTTAAACAGAGCCTGGATGGCCATCTGTCGGGGGTGCTTTGAATGCAACATTCCTGCTTCTTGGCAGGGGGTTGGACTTGATGGCCCATGAGGTCTCTTCCAACTCTATGATTCTATGATCCCCCAGTAAGCAGCCAGTCTTTGAAGCTGCAAAGCCATTCAATGCTAATCAAGGTGACTAATTGCAACATTCACACTTGCCTCAAGCAGACAAGAGTTCTTCCTCCCACCCTGGACATCATTCCACAATATATAAACCCCACTTGCCTAGTTTCCAACAGATCTCACAACCCCTGAGGGTGCCTGCCATAGATGTGGGCAAAATGTCAGGAGAGAATGCTTCTGGAACATGGCCATACAGCCCAGAAAACTCAGAGCAACCCAGAGACTCCTGTTAATCAATAGGACGAGTTGGAAAGGAAAGCAGCGCAAACATTTCTTTTCAACAGTTGTTTCAGTAACTTTGGAACAAATGACAAATCTTTCAAGTCTCAGAAAGAACATGCTAAAAATATCTGTAGTTGACTTTGCAGAAAGGGGGAAGGTCAGGCTTTCTGTTGCGATGTGACTTTTTTTGAGTATTACAAGCCAAGCACAAACTGTGGTAAACCTAAACCACATAGGGAAGATAAACCTGTAGAACCAGTAATTGTGTAGTGGTCTTAGTGGTGGACAGGTCAGGGCTGAAATCATTGCTCAGCCATAAAAACCCAATAGGTAATCTTTGACATATCTCTCATGCTCTGAGGAGGGCAATGGCAAACCCTCTCTGAATCTATTGTCGAAGGCTTTCATGGCTGGAATCACTGGGTTGTTGTGAGTTTTCCAGGCTGTATGGCCATGTTTCAGAAGCATTCCCTCCTGACATTTTGCCTGCATCAGATGTTGTGAGGCCTGTTGGAAACTAGGAAAATGGGGTTTATATATCTGTAGAATGTCCAGGGTGGGAGAAACAACTCTTCTCTGCTGGAGCTAGGTGAGACTGTTTCAATTGGTCACCTTGATTAGCATTTAATGGTCTAGCAGTTTCAAGGTCTGGCTTCTTACTGTCTGGGGAAAAACTCTAAAATCATAACAGTAAATAAAGGACAACACTCAAAAACTGACAAATTCCAGACAAGAAACAATCAGGGCCATCTAATCATCTCCCAACAAAGGATTCCCCCAGGCAGTAAGAAGCCAAACCTTGAAACTGCTAAGCCATTAAATGCTAATCAATGTGGCCAATTGCAACATTCACACCTATCTCAAACGGACAAGAGTTCTTTCTCCCACCCTGGACATTCCACAGATATATATAAACCCCATTTTCCTCGTTTCCAACAGTTTGCCTGATCTACCATGTAAAATTAACAAACATCACGGCTCAGTGTTATGGAATTCTAGTTGTGGTTTTGTGAGGCCCCAGCCCTCTTTTACAGAGAAGGTTAAAGACCTTGTAAAACTACAACTCCTAGGATTCCACAGCATTGAGCCATGGCAGTTAAAGTGGTTTTTTGTTGTTGTTTTTTTGTCATGTCAGGAGTGACTTGAGAAACTGCAAGTCGCTTCTGGTGTGAGAGAATTGGCCGTCTGCAAGGACATTGCCCAGGGGACACCCGGATGTTTTGATGTTTTATCATCCTTGTGGGAGGCTTCTCTCTCCACATGAGGAGCTGGAGCTGACAGAGGGAGCTCATCCACACTCCCCCTGGATTCGAACCTGCTACCTGTCAGTCTTCAGTCCTGCCAGCACAGGGGTTTAACCTTAAAGTGGTGTCGAGCTGCCTTAATTCTACAGTGAAGATGCACCCTCAGCTAAAATGTGTGATCAACTTGGTTCTCAACTCCTCTGGGTAAATCGAAAAAGTAGATGCACCCAAAGAAGCTGTAAATCTTGGGAGTAAACCCTAAAATAAAAGTAGTTTGAAGAACCATGTAGCGCCGGTTCTTTGAACTATTTAAAGGGTGCATCTACACCAGTGGCTACTCTTGATGTTTCAGACTTCCACTCCCAGAATTCCTGATTGTTGGCCAAGACAGCTGGGAGTGTTTCAGGGGCCCCTTCCACACAGCTGTATAAAATCCACATTGAACTGKRTTATATGGCAGTGTGGACTCAGATAATCCGGTTCAAAGCAGATATTGTGGATGATCTGACTTGATATTCTGGSCTATATAGCGGTGTTTTTGTTGTTTTTATTGATGTGTTGTTGGGCTTGGCCTCATGTAAGCCGCTCCGAGTCCCTTGGGGAGATGATGGTGGGGTATAAATAAAGTTATTATTATTATTATTATTATTATTATTATTATTATTATTATTATTATTATTTACACTGTGGAATGAATGCAGTTTGACACCCCGTACCTGCCATGGCACAAGGGCCTTGTAGTTTGGTGAGGCACCAGCTCTTTTTGGCAAAGAAGGGCCCTTCCACACAGCCCTATATCCCAGAATATCAAGGCAGAAAATCCCACAATATCTGCTTTGAACTGGGTTATCTAAGTCCACACTCAGATAAAGTGGGAGTTTTTGCCTTGATATTATGGGATATAGGGCTGTGTGGAAAGGCCYGAAGGCTAAAGATCTTGCAAAACTACAACTCCTGCTGGGGGCCCTTCCACACAGCTATAACCCAGAAAATCAAGACAGAAAATCCCACAATATCTGCTTTGAACTGGATTAACTGAGTCCGTGCAGCCATATATTCCAGTTCAAAGCAGAAAATGTGGGATTTTATGTATCTGTGTGGAAGGGACCTGGATCGACACTGCCCTATATCCCAGGATCTGATCCCAGATTATCTTCTTATCCAAGATTATCTGGCAGTGTAGATTCATATAATCCAATCCAAAGCAGATAATCTGAGATCAGATCCTGGGATATAGGGCAGTATCAATCCGGCCTCCCATAACTCTTGAACCGGGCTAGTTAAAGAGGTGACTATGGCCCCTTTTACACTGCAAAATAAAATCCATATTTATTGTCGAAGGCTTTCATGGCTGGAATCACTGGGTTGTTGTATGTTTTTTCGGGCTGTATGACCATGTTCTAGAGGCATTCTCTCCTGACGTTTTGCCTGCATCTATAGCAAGCATCCTCAGAGGTTGCTATAACAACCCAAAATCCAGATTATCTGTTTAGATAATCTGTTTTTTATGGCAGTGTAGAAGGGGCCTAAGAGCATCCTTTCTACAGTGTAGATGCGCCCTAAGGCACGTGGAATCTGGTTCCGCTAAGGACCCTTCTATGCTGCAATATAAAATCCAGATTATCTGCTTTGAACCAGATTATATGGCAGTGTAGGCTCATATAAACGAGTTCAAAACAGATGCAAATTATACGCTTTGAGAATTAAGGTATATAGCAATGTAGAAGGGGCATAAAGCTCTAACTATACAGCCATATAATCCAGTTTCTGAATCCAGAGTAACTGCCTTGAACTGGATTACATGACAGTATAGACTCAGGCTGGATCTACACTGCTATATAATCCTGATTATCTGCTTTGGACTGGATTATATGAGTACACACTGCCACATAACCCAGTTCAAAATCAGATAATCTGGACGTTGTATGTCAGTGCAGATTGGGCCTCATGTAATCCAGTTCAAAGCAGATAACCTGGATTCAAAAACTGGATTATGTGGCAGATCCAGCCTAAACAATAGGGACGCCCAGATGCGCATGGAGTTTGGAAATCCATCTGCTTGAAACTCAGGCCCCTTCTACACTGCTTTATAATCCAGATTACGAGAGCAGATAATCTGGATTTTATATGGCAGTGTAAATGGGGACTTTGAGTGCAACCCCACTGAAGAATGAATGCAATCCAGGGCTCAATACTATGGCATCATAAGAAATGCATGAGCAAACTTGGGCCCTCCAGGGGTTTTGGACTTCAACTCCCACCATTCCTAACTGCCTACCGGCTGTTAGGAATGGTGGGAGTTAAAGTCCAAAACCCCTGGAGGGCCCAAGTTTGCCCAGGCCTGGTTTAGACTGCCTTTGAGCCTTCTCTGCCTCCCCAAACTCCTAGAATCTCATAGCATTGAGGCAGGGCTGTTCCAAGTGGGTCTACTCCTTGTGGTGAGAGGCAAGGGGGTCTTCTAAGAAGGGGAAGGGGCGAGGGGACGCGGTGCTTACAGGCGGAACATGCGCTCCATGTCCTTGATCTGCCTCCGGGAGAACTCCTTGAACTCCGTGTAGGGGTTGAAGACCTGGGCGAGGCGGGGGCGCGCCGCCCCGGCGTTGATGTCCTGCCGCCGGTTGAGTTTGGCGCTCAGCTCCGGGTCGGCGTCGGCGCTCAGCACGCCGCGCTCCTCCTCCTCCTCCTTCCCGCCCTCCAGGTCCTCCTCTCGGGGGGCCACGCCGGCCAGACCCCCATTCCCAGTCGGGGAAGAAGAGGGCGAAGGCGGCGGCTCGGGCTCCGAAGTGCTCCCGTCCCGCAAGAGCCGGCGCTGCAGCTTGGCGGCCAGTTCATCCGAAGCCATGGCGGCGGCGTCCGGCGTCCACCACTCTCTCTCTCTCTCTCTCTGTCCGCAAAAGCTCCTCTTTTTTGCCGCCCCCGAACTTTATTCTAGGACTTCGGGGCGAAAGGGGCGTCGGCCAAGGCGAAGGCAAAGGCAAGGGGCCGGGCTGGGATTTAAGGAGGCGCCGGGGAATTGCCCGCCAACGGCTTCTCCTTCGGGGAAAGTAAGTCCCACCCCCTCCCACTTGGCTCCGTTGCAACCACGCGCCCCGTCTGGCTGCACGGTGCACTTTGGACTGCGCTAGAGTAGGGCCAGCCTTGGACAATATGGGTTGTGTGGTTGGATTTGTACGTAAGTCGGGACGTGTCCTTTTTCTACATCTGCACACTTCAAGCTGCGTTGTATGCCCAGCCTTGACCCATACGCAGGCCTGCCCCGAGTTACGAACAGGTCACATTTTGTACGTAAGTAGGGACGTGTACTTTTTAAATCTGTGCACACTCAGCTGCGTTGTGTGCCCAGCCTTGACCCATACGCAGACCTTCCCCGAGTTGCGAACAAGACCACATTTGTACGTAAATCGGGACTAATAACACTAATACCAGCATATAGATCTTGTTTGCTATGACATACTGTGCTTTTGTGTCAGTAAAATAATACACTTTATTTATAACCCGCCACCATCTCCCCAAAGGGGACTCAGGGCGGCTAACATAAAATAATACAACATAATAAACACACAATACATCATCATCATCTATTATATAAACAAAAATGTAATGTTCATTTGTGGGATTAACAGAACTAAAAAAACCACTGGATGAATTGACACCACATTTGGGCACAATACATCTAACAACCCAATGTATGTTCTTCACTCAAAAAAACTGATTTTTACATTTGGGAGTTGTAGTTGCTGGGATTTATAGTTCACCTGCAATCAAAGAGCATTCTGAGCCCCATCAACGATGGAATTGAACAAAACGTCGCACACAGTTCTTCCATGACCAACAGAAAATACTGGAAGGGTTTGGTGGGCGGTGTCCTTTGATTTTGGAGTTGTAGTTCACCTACATCCAGAGATCACTGTGGACTCAAACAATGATGGATCTGGACCAAACTCTACACAAATACTCAATATGCCCAAATATTGGTATCGCTTCTAATTAATTAAAAATAACGAATTTATAACGAGTAACAAAAGTAACGATCTGGATTGCCCAAGCCTACTATTTATGTCTATGGCTGAATTGCTCTTTGTCAGGAGGGCTTTGATTATGTTTTCTTGCCCTGGTGAAGGGAGTTGGACTGGATGGCCTTGAGGCAGCATTTCTCAACCTTGAGAGTTGCTTTGGGTTCTGTGTGGGAAGTTTGGCCCAGTTCTGTCGTTCRTGGGGTTCAGAATGCTCTTGGATTGTAGGTGAACTATAAATCCCAGCAACTACAACTCCCAAATGTCAAGGTCTATTTCCTCCAAACCCCATCTGTGTTYATATCCAGGCATGTGGAGTATTTCTGCCGATTTTGGTCCAGATCCATCATTGTTTGAGTCCACAGTGCTCTCTGGATGTAGGTGAACTACAACTYCYAAGCTTAAGGTCAATGCCCATCCAACCCTCCCAGCAACTACTACTCCCAAATGAGAAAATCGTGTTGTTGTTTTTTTTGAGTGATGGTCACTCCTTGGGTAGTAGGTGTCTTGTGGCCAAATTTGGTGGCAATTCATCCAGTGGATTTTGAGTTATGATGTCACTCAAAATGAACAGAGCATTTATCTTCTATATAAATAAAAATGTAATGTTCATTTGTGGTATTCACAGAACTCAAAAACCACTGGGGCAGTTGGCACCAAATTTGGACACAAGATACCTAACAACCCAATGTATGTCCTTCACTCAAAAAAATTGATTTTATCATTTGGGAGTTGTAGTTGCTGGGATTTATAGTTCACCTACAATCAAAGAGCATTCTGAACCCCACCAACGATGGAATTGAACCAAACTTGGCACACAGTTCTCCCGTGACCAACAGAAAGTACTGGATTTGGGGGCCAGTGTCCTTTGGTTTTGGAGTTGTAGTTCACCTACATCCAGAGATCACTATGGACTCAAACAATGATGGATCTGGACCAAACTCTACATGAATACTCAATATGCCCAAATGTTAACACTGGTGGAGTTTGCGGAAAATACAATCTTGACGTTCGGGAGTTGTAGTTGCTGGGATTTATAGTTCACCTACAATCACAGAGCATTCTGAATCCCACCAACGATAGAATTGGGCCAAACCTCCCACACACAACCCTAATGTGGACCACAGCAACGCGTGGCAAGGCACGGCTAGTGTATATATATATATATATAGAGATATATATATATAGAGATATATATAGATAGATAGAGATATAGTTTGCCTACACTTGATTTAACTCCTGATAAACAGGAAGGGTGCTCTTTCTTTTCCTCTGCAAGCCTCCAAGGAGTTCATTCGACTTTACTTTGTGGTTGTGTGTGTTATGGTTCACTTCTATACTGTTGAATTAAATGCAGCTTGACACCATTTTGCCATGGCTCAACGCAATGGATTTATTTGCATTTTTATGCAGTCTTAAGCCTTCACTGCCTAGGAGTGCGGGGCCTCATCAAACCACTGTTATGTGGTCAGTGTAGTAGCTGTGCCTTCTATCACTAGCTTTCCGGGGCTGAGATAGTTTGACTTGCCTTACTTCCATACCTGTGACTTCCAAAGAATCCTTTTGCGAGTCCTCTCTTAAACTCCTGGCATAAACTGCCCCAAGTCTTTCAGAGGTCAACATTACCTGTTTACAAATGTAAATACACACATTATTTCTGAAAATTGCTCAAGGAGTGACCACCATTCTGCTTCTGGCATTCCCTGCTTTTCTCCATGTCCTCACTTTACATTCACAAATGCTCTGTGAGACATCGGTGGAGGATACATTTTGCAAAAAAAGAAGGGAGATTGGAAGTTTCAACAGCGTTCTTTGGGAGTCTCCAAAGTTAAACTACCAAGTTGGTGGAGTGTTTGCTGTGGTTATTTCCAGAGGCTGGAACATGATTTTTGAATTTATTTTTTGTTCCTTAATTATGGGCCTGGCTTATAAACACACCGGCACGTTTGTTTTGGAAGCAGAAGGATTTGTACCTTTGACATTCATAATTAATGCAAACAGCCTGAGCGTAGGTCTCTCCCAAAGTGAGTTTTGCTCCTTTCCGGGGAATGAACTGATTTTACAAATAAGTATTTGGGATTGCAGTCAAGCAAACACCCAACCTAACCTGGTGAACCTGCGAACTGACCATAAATTGGAGATGTTCCTAAGGCATGACCTTAAGCCTGAATCAATGGATACACCTATAACCTCTCTAAATTCAACTCAGTGAAAACTGAATACACTCCTGCAAAATCTCTCTTAATAAAGTCTCCCATCTCACGAGAAAGGCAGATAAAAATAAAATACATCTGAATTAACTCTTTAAAAAGTCGTATGTTGAGAATTTCTGATATTTTTTGCCAGTGCATTTGAACTGATGCACTTTGGACTGCGTTATAGAAGGGCCAGCCTCGACCCATATCCAGGCTGTCCCCAGTTACGAACAAGATGGGTTATGTAGTTGGATTTGTACGTAAGTCAGGACGGGTTCTGTTTTTACATCTGAATTATATGGCCAGACATGAATGCCACACCACTTATTACACTTCTAACTTTCAGGCAGTTAAATAAGTAGAGTAAGATGGTGCATCTGTGAGTTTATGTGCCTTTAAATCACATGTCAACTTATGGTGACCCATTGCACTTCATAGTATTTTCTTAGGTAAGGAAAACTCAGAGATGATTTTGCCACTTCCATCCTCTGAAATATAACTTATAGCACCTGGTATTCATTGGTGATTCCACATCCAAGTATTAACCATGGCTCACCCTACTTAGCTTTCAATATCAGACAGGATCTGGTGCCATATGCTGCATTAAATGATGTGGAAAAAATGAACTCCAAAAGATTGCACTTAAAAAGGTAACTTATTTATTTACTTACCATATTCATACCCCACCTTTCTCACCCCGTAGGCAACAATTCAATGCCATATAAAACAGACATACAATTAAAATAAACATTTGCATTTAAACCAAAGAATTAGAACATCTAAACATTAAACCAATTATTATTAACACCACACAATCCAAGATCATAGTCTGGAGCCATTCCCCCTGTCATTGCACATATTCCGTATCCATTTATTGTACTACACTACTATCTGAAGGTTTGGTCCCATAACCACATTTTTACTTTCTTTCTGAGGGCCAGGAGGGAGGGATCTGATCTGATTTCAATGGTGAGGCAGTTCCATAGCTGATGGGCCCCTTTGAGAAGACCCTTTCTCATCCCCAGCAATTGCACCTACGAAGGAGGTAGGGCTGAGAGCAGGGCCTCTCCAGAACATCTTAACATCCAAGATGGTCCATAGAGGGAGATACGTTTGGACTGGTAAGCTGGTTCGGAACCCTTGGGGCTTTTTAGGCTAAAGCCAGCACTTTGAATTGTGCTCAGTAGCAGACTGGCAGCCAGTGGAGCTGATGTATTTGGGGGGTTTATGCTCCCTGTATGCCACTCCAGTGAGAAATCTGGCTGCTGCCCGTTGGACCACTTGAAGTTTGCAAACAGTCTCCATGGGCCACCCCACATAGAGCACATTGCAATAGTCTGGTAACTGGCAACACCTTCTTTTTAGCCAGATAGACTAATTATGGACTGAAGGTAGATTTCCTTTTAAACTTCCAACGTGCCTTAGCATGTGGCATGTTGGAGGCCTTTCACCCTACACCAGTTGTGCCCAACCTTTGGTTGACCAGGGACCACTCTCCAACATTAGTACCAAAAGGGTTATGAATCAGTTTTTGGTCAACTTTAGATTCGATTTGGTTATTTGGGCTGCTGATTCAGAAAAATGCATTGGATAGATCATATCCGCTCTAGTTTTTATACAGAACATATGCCATCCAGTAGTCGCCATCTGCTCACCCACAGAAAACCTTTAATAATCTAGAGCTGATGTGTTAGTAATAACCTTTTGTGGTTAGTTTCTTCCTTCCTGACATCCCCGTTGCCTAGGCACTATAAGAGGGTTTCACAAGACCAGTTGCTCTTATTGCTGCATGGTTTAGAGGCAATGGTATAGTAATGGTGAGGCCA